CCCCCCCCCCCCCCCCCCCCCCTTCCAACCACGCCCAATCCTCCCATCCGCCAACTCCCCTGGCTACATGATCCAGCCGTCATACACTGGGCAGCGCTACCCAGCGCGTCTGGCAAAGTTCCAGCGAGTGGTGCCGCGGAATAGTTTTGGCAGAGATGAATGAGCAAAGCGCTGGAAGGCCCAAGCACCATAGATCACCAATCGGGACAAGCCAAGCCGAGCCGAGTTTTTGTAATTGCCGAATTTCCCCGCCAAAACTTTCATGGAGACATTGAGATGCAGGCGTACATTAAAGATGAGTTTGAATTTGCGATGTCGTACGTGGACAGGAGACGCAACTTTAAAATTTCAGCTTCCTAGCTTCCACGGTTTCCATGTTGAAAACTGCGAACATTGTGCATCGGACACACGCACACACACATACACACAAGTACGCATACAGACAACCCCTTGACAAAATGCGTTTTGAGCAGCTGCTGCGCAGTACAAAACGCGTAAGAATCATGAAAACCTAATTGTCCAGCAATGAAATTAGCCTCAACCTAATGGACGCGGAGAGACATATAAAGACATGTCTTTATGATACTGATTTGCTAGGTCTGCGCAGAACCAAGCAAAAGTAATAGTTAAATACTACAAAAACGGGCAGTATTTAATCATCATTTCATCGCTTATTAAATTTTTATTTAAATGTGTAACATTTAATTATTTAAATTTTTTCGCAGCACCGAAACAAATGTGTGGCTTTTGGTAAGGATCCATGCTGATTTGAGCAGGTTTTCACCCTGATTACTCATGAGGTAAAAGTATCAGTGACGTTGATGCTTTCACACATATTAACTGACTTGGTTACAGAAAAAAACCTTGTTGATGTCAAAAATGACAAGGTACAAGGCTACACCAAAGGCAAGTGAAATATCAAGGGGAAAAATGAAATCTGGAGCACTGTCCGCATAGGCTAAAAGGACTGGACATTTCAAGGCATAAATAAGTGAAATATGAAAATTTGAAACACGCGATAGAGCAGTCCAGAAATTCGAAGAAAAACACTGTTTTGAAAGTAACAAGAGATAAAGGGCATGTGAATTAAAATAACGAGCCTGCAAAATTTTATCATACGGTAAAATCTGGCCACACAGGTCTGCTGCGCCACCCGGTAGTATTGCATTTATGAAAACCCCTGGATTGCTGCCAACGCCGTCCGATACGCTGAATCCAAAACTATTTGTTCGTGGATCCTGAAGCACTAATTACATTTGCGATTCAAATGCTACAACGACCGCTTGAGAAAAAACGAACAATTGCTGCTAATTTGTCAATCTTTCGGACAAAACTTCACGCTGAAATAGTTCTGATCTACCCTTTTCATAAAATTCTTTAACTTGAACTTATGAATTCAACAACATCATAAAATGAACCTTACGCAATCGGACGCAGTGAGTTGTGCCACTTGTACTTGGCGTAAACGTTTTACTGCTAAGCTCGTGAAGCACGAGTGCTGTAGACGGAGGAGACAACCGTGAACTTCTGGGCTGCAAAGAAAGTCATTTTCAGCCCCCATTCTCGATACTCAGCCATCGAAACAAAATTGCCTTCTGCAGCATATCCTTTCATTTTAACATAAAATTTTCGACTGAAATTGCGAGGTCCACATTTATAAGTTCAAATTCAGCTTGTGCTCAAAGGTCCAGTAATATTTAAGACTTAATTTCAGGCAATTTTTCTCAAATTACTTGAAAATTCGGTTATGCAGATCCCTAGTTTATGGCTTTTTTGATTCTTATGTTATAGAATTAATCTGGATTCGAGATAAGATGAGGCAGTTTTTACTTTAATAACCAAATGTTGCTTAAAATCAGATGAAAAATTAGAAATTCAAGAATTCAGCGTCATACTTTTTCGGGTCTTGATTTGAAACATTGCAGCCAGCCATATTTCACTGCAACTCGGAAAGAAAGCCAGAACCAAAGCAAAACCTTGCTAAACCAAGTTTAGTAAATACATGACCGCCCCGAATACGACCTAACTGTGCGCATACTTGTTATTTTAAATTTTCTTCATAATGTCCTTGTTTAAACGCAGGTTAAGCACAATATTGCACATATCAGTATGACAGAAGGATTTTGCACTTATAGACTTGCATGTAGGTAAACATGCACTCAGACTTTTTGGGTGTTGATTCTCGTAGTCCTAGAGTCAGTCACCGCGGCAGACAGACAAAAACATATATGATGAAAATTCCTCGTCTTGAAAAAATGCGTTTTTTTCGTGCAAAGAAAATGAAAATTTTTGGCATTCTGCTTGTTAACTAACACATCTTTTTATTTTTGAAACTTTCGCATCCTGCTGCTCTACAATAACTCACCACTGCTGAACAAAAAATACAGACCCTTTGCAATTCGTTAGTCGAACACTGTGACAGGCATTCGGAAATATTGCCATTCAAAGGCTCCGATAAAACGAGAAGGGCTTGGCTTCCCAACGCGCCAAAACGAGGTGGCTTCGGCGGGGCAATCTGATAAGGTATATCGCCTAGCGATGCACTTGTTTGCGAATCATTTGAAAGGCTAGACGAATCCATTATATCAGTGCTCGAATATCGCGTCTCTGGAAATCATCCGCAATGCAATCTGTATTTTATAATACCTTCTAAAAATTAAGAACGCGATATAGCGCAACTATGTGTACATTTATTCGCATCTGCATATTGCGCGTATGTGCAAGTCCAACACATGGATGGTCAAACTGGATTTCAAACTACGTTCCAAAATTAAGACACACGCTGGAACGCACCGGGCAGGCCCGTGCGATCATGTGTTTTTGCAACGGGCTTGAATTACTCAGGTCATTAACTATACAAATGACTGTTGCTTCACACCTACTTGTTGCGGTGACTAGCATAAATCACCATAAATTTTGCAAAGTAAATGTATAATTTCCATTTAACAGTCGTTCTTTAAAAGTAATCTAGTTGTTCAGTAAGAAATTTTTTCTTCAAAACTTTTAAGTGCCCGTGCGTAAGAACCAAGCATACCTCAAGGCTGAATTTGAAATACTTAAATTCTACTTGGATAGGGAACACTCCCTCAAAATTTCAGCTTTTCAGCTTTTATGGTTACCGAGTTAGCAATTTTTTCGCCAAAACCTTCACATGCCCACACTTAGGTACTCCACGTGCCTGGAAAGCTGAATTGAAAATTTTTAAATTGCACGTGGACAGGTAACATTCCCCTAAAATTTCAGCCTTCCAGCTCTTCCGGTTGCGAGTCAGTAATTTTCCTGCAGAAAATTTCGTACGCCCTTACGTGAGTGCCACGCATACCTGGAGGCTGAATTTGAAATCTTTGACTAGTACATACACAGGGAATATCCCAACAAGGTTTCAGCCTCTTAGCTCATGTGGTTCCCGACATCGCTTTCCCGCCAAAAAATTTGCATATTTTTTTTAAAGCGCCCATACGCGACACCCAAGCGTCCGCGGGAGATGAAATTACTTAGGCTCTCCGGTGCGATCATGCGTTTTTGCACTAAACTCGCAGATCGCTATTAGTAAGAATGATCCCTACGCTGTAGCCCAACGCTAGGGTCATATCAGCCGTGTTTTGACCCTTTCCGGCATGCAGGAGGAAGGGGGTCAGTTGGGATGAAGTTGGTACATTATACAGCCGCACGGACATCCGGGTGCATGATTACCTGTTTTTTGCATGAAGTCCGGTCGTTTTTGCGGTAAATGCTCACTTTGTGAAAAATGATAAATGCAAATTTTTTGAAAAAATGCAAATTTCCAGTTAAACAAAAAGTTGAAGTATTGCTCGAGTGGCCGTTTGTCAAAAAATCCATGTTCATTTACGTATACGATTGCGGTTAAGGTCCGAGTTGCTAACGATTTTTGGGTTTGAGGAGTTGCTTGAGGCTGTGTTCGGGGAGCTAGAGAGCTGAGTTTAAAATTTTTATCTCGCACGTGCATAGGGAATATCCCTGCAAAGTTTCAGCTTTCTACCCTGCCTGGTTCGCGAAATCGTTTCCCGCCATCATATTTCTTTGGGAGCCCTGTATGCAGGATCTAGGGGCGTATGGGGAATGATCTTAAAACGGGAGGATGAAACACGGGGTGGGAACATGTATCGAAAGTTTCAGCCTCCCAGCTTGCCTGGTTGCTGAGATGAAAGCGGGTGACAAAATGCACTCGCTTTCCGAACACACACACACACACACACAGAAAGCCTCTCGACAATATACGTTTTTTTTATGCGTTTTTGCTGTGCAGCGCTGCTATAGCGCTGCACAGCGAAAACGCATAAAAACGGGAGGGTCGCGCTTGGTATGCGCACATACTCCCAAAGCTTCAGCCTTCTAGCTTTACTGGTTCTCGAATTAAAAGTGGATGGCAAAAAGTGCGAACACACAGACACACACACGCAGCCTCTTCCCCATATGCGATTTCGCAATTTGCATTATATGCAAAAAAGCATAAAAAATTAGGAAGCTAAATTTGGGGATTTTGGCGACTGCAACGAAGTAAATCCAACCTAGGCTGGAACGAACCGGGCAGGCCCGTGCGATCATGCGTTTTTGCACCGGACTTGAAGTAATCAGGTCACTAACTGTATGTATGGCTGTTGCTTTACACCCACATCTTGCAGTCACTATCATAAATCATCATAAATTTTGCAAAGTAAATGTACAGTCGTTCTTTAGAATTAGCCTCGTTGTTCAGCGAAAAATTTTTCCGCCAAGACTTTCAAGTGTCCGTTCGTAATAACCGCGCATACCTCAAGGCTGGATTTGAAATACTTGAGTTGTACTTGGACAGGGAACATTAACCCAAAATTTCAGCTTTCTAGCTTTACCGATTTAGCATTTTTTTCGCCAAAACCTTCACATGCTCGTACTTGGGTACTCCACGTGTCCGAAAAGCTGAATTTGAAATTTACAAACTGCAGTTGGACGGGGAACATTCCCTTAAAATTTCAGCCTTTCAGATTTTCTGGTTACCGAGTCAGTAATTTCCCCACAGAAAATTTCATACGCCTTTACGTAAGTACCACGCATAGATTATGGCTGAGTTTGAAATATTTGATTTGTACTTGGATAGGGAACATCCCTCCAAAACTTCAGCTTTTTAGCTTTCCTCGTGTCCGAGTTATCAGTTTTCCCCCTAGAAATTTCGTAAACCCTTACACGAGTAAAACGCATACCTGGGGGCTGAATTTGAAATCTTTAGCTAGTTCATGCACAGGGAACATTCCTACAAAGTTTCATCCCCTCAGCTCATGTAGTTCCTAAGATCGCTTTCCCGCCAAAAAATTTGCATATCTTTTTAAAGCGTCCGTACGCGCCATCTAGGCGCCTGTGGAGGATGAAATTAAAACGGGAGGGTCGCACATGGTATGGGCACATATGCCCACGGTTTCAGCCTTCTCGCTTTTCTGGGTCTCGAGTTGAAAGTGGGTGACAAAAAGTGCGAACACACGGACACAAACACAGCCTCTTCCCAATATGCGTTCTTGCATTTTACGTATATGCAAAAACGCATAAAAATCGCGTGTTAAATGTTGCCTTGTTTGAAAATACAATGTTGATTTAAAATTCAAGTTATTAATCTGGAACTGGAGATGCTGCGGGAAAAGATCCCAGCAGTCTGATACATCGAGTAGCACTGAATGAAACATATGAGCACGCTGGTGATGTGATGTTTAAATTCGGACTAAAAACCTCAAAACAGAAAAAGATGCAATTCAAGGTGGTCGAGTTTATAAATCTCATAGCACAGAGCAAAATATTTGGAAGCGAACTCCCATTTTCACCGTATTTTGACCTAAAATTTTAAACATAAAGCAGACTAAATTTCTGATCTGAGAAACACGACGCGCAGAGGTTCACAGTGGTACACAAAAGCCTTAAGCACGAATTACCTTTATAACTTTAAAATCGTGTGTACCAACAACTTAAAATTCTGGCCTTGTAATGAAAAGTCGAAGAAACACGCAGTAAGTTGTCGGGTTTTTCAGCTACTCCTTTAATAATTAAGATTAAGATAATAATAATCAAGATAATTAAGATTAAGATAATTAAAATAAGATAATAATTAATAATTAGGATATTCATATCTAATAAGATGATTTTTGAAGTCACAGGCAAGCACTGAACTGGAATTGCTGACTTATAGCGCTTCTTTGGGTTAAAAACCAATAGTCAACTACATGCGTTGTCTTCAGGGCACACAAAAAAAAAAAAAACACAAATTTAGTAGGTTTTTGTGCTCCCTGTTAATTATTAGCTCAGTAAATCCAGTTTTTTCGAAAATTTTCCTTGCTTTTATCAACTTACTTTGTGCTTTGATTTCCGAAAAGTTTGGCTTAACGGAAGGTGACAACGATCCACGCACTAAAGCGCTTCCAGCTGATGAACTGAAACGATGCGATTGCCTGCCAACACTGTTAGCGAGTGGTAGCCTTAAATCGATGCGCTGAGCAATTGCAGCTTCGTGATGGCTGAAAATAAATTAACGGTTTTTTTTCAGCTCCACATTTAACTGGATAGCATCATTAAAAGTTTTTTATCTCCTTTATCCTTAGTTTAATAGAGTTTTAACTTTTCATATCTAAATTTATCTTCAAGGAAAAATCGAATAATCTGCCGAATCAAATAAATTATGAAAATCTAAAAGCAGGAAGCTAACCTTGCTATCAATGGGCTTCCATGCCCATACACAGCCGACACGCTGCCAACTGTGCATTCCTCCAATTTCTGGAGCATTTCTGCCTCGCCAACCGTTTCAAGCGCCTCGAGTATTTTCACCCTGCATTTTATTCATTAGCAAGCACTTAAGAAGGCGCCGACTAAGGCTGTGCGCGCTTCTAAAAATAGTTTGCACTACAAAGAAATATTTGGTTAAAGAAATAAATCAACAATTTACTTTTTTAAGAAAGGCAGAAAAACCTGAAGAATAATGCTGTGTTTCTCGCACCCAAGAATGCTAAAAGTGCCTGTATGGGACATTAGAAAGCAATACGATGAATTATAAGACGCCAACTTTTATCACAAATAGGACCCAAGTACCCAAGCACCACGCTTGCCATTGCTATCATGCGTTTTTGCACAAAACATGAAACAGTAAGATCGTTAACGATGTGGATTCACGTTGGCTGCGTCATACTTTAAAATATTTTGGCCTTTTTTGGCGTGCGGGGGAAACGAGTGTCGGCTGGAACCGGTAATGCTGCATCACAGGGCCACATGCAGTAGCAGCCTCCAGCACTCATGTTTGCTGTAAATATTCGATGATCCGTTGTTTATCGAAAAATGTAAATTTGACAGTGAATAAGATGTAGGGAGAGAAGTGTAAAAGAACGTGAAAGAGCAGTCTTGAGTTCGATTCTTAGGTGAGAACGGAGCGGCCAGGTTCTTCTTTCGAGTGAGAAACAATTTCACTGGTTGGAAAAGCAAATCAGGAGCACCATGCGTTTTTCCTGCGCAGCGCTATAGCGCTGCTAGCGAGCAAAAACGCATATTGCGACGACTCCGGTGTGCGTGTTTTTGTACATTCGTGTGTGTGTGTCTGTCCGGGTATTTCAACTCGGCAGTCACGCAAACTTAGGGACCAAAATTTCGCCAGCGGGTTCCTCAGCCTGATGCCATCCCAGGACCGTGGTACTAACCCTCGTGCACGTTTGGGCCTCGTGTGCGTGCAAAGTTGTAGCGGGAGAATGAATAACTTGGGAACTAGGAAAGCTAGAAGACTGAAATTTTGAGGGGATGATCCCATTCCATGTACAACTTAAAGGCTTCATATTCAGCCCACGAGTATGTTTGTTTCTCCCATGCAGCCCCATAAAAGTTTTTGGTGGGGAAATCACTAACTCGAGAAGCCGAAAAGCTAGAAGGCTAAAATTTCGAAAGTACATTCACCTAGCACTTAGAACTCAAAGATTTTAAATTCAGTCCCCAGACACGAGTAGTTTCCACATACGGCCCCGTAAAATTTTTTGGCGGAAAAATTTACTAACTTGGGGACCAGAAAAGCTAGAAAGCTAAAATTCTGAGGATATGTTCTCTGTCCACTTAAAACTCAAAGATTTAAAATTCAGCCCCGGCATGCGTGGCTCTCACGTGTGGCCCGCAAAATTTTTGGGTGGGAAAATTGTTTACTCGGGAACCAGAAAAACTAGAAAGCTAAAATTTTAACAAAATATTCCCTTTTCAAGGGCAAGTGGTAAATGTACGACTAACTTTCTGAAGTTCTACGATCAGTATGACATAAATTCTAGCTACTGTGATTCCAAGCGGTCTTACAACAGCACGAGATACAGCACGAGCCCGTCCGATAGCACGAGCCCGTCCGATAGCACGAGCCCGCCCGGTGCGCGCTGTCAATACCTTGACACTCGGACAAAGAAACCCGAATAACTGTGATACAGGAAAAAGCACACACACACACACACACAAAAAACGGCTAGAAATATTTTCCTGCGGTGTTCCTAAAAAGAATAGGAAGGCGCTCGCCTAGTTACAGTTTCGAAACAAGCTTCTGCAAGCAAAAAATTGCTTCTGCAGCTCTTTGTGAAACTTGAAAGAAATGGTGAATGTATATACCAGCTGTCTTGTTCGAATTCTGCGTTTCTGTGGCAATTGCAGCGTTTACGAGGGGCGCATTCATTTATTCGGCTTAAATCGTTTCCCCACAGTGCTTGATCCGAATTGTATGAACCTGAAAACTCATGGCTTGTCACTACCATAAATTTTGGGCATTACAGACAAATCAAAGCATTAAAACAACAGTGACAATTAAGGTTCTTCTCGTCCAACACTTTGCAGTCCAAAAGCTGGTGGAGCAAACTGGCTACAACAAGCCTTAAGAGTGCCTCATCGTATTCAACTCTAGCTTCCGGCAGAAACAGAAACAAACATCCAAATATAGGTTTAAGAAATTGAAATTTAAAATAAACTCAGGTCAATTCGATTACATTTTGGAAATCATTTTGACATTATTCAGGATTTAATACGAATAAGATATGCTAAAATGTGCGCATGTTTTATATCTCTAAGATGAGCATGTCAGTGCAAACCGTAATTGAGTGAAGTGTTGGCAAGTTGCTCATCAAATACATAGTGCGTGACATTTGAAAATTTCGCTATATTTCCCGCAGAATCGTCTAGGCTTTCCACAGCGCTGTCAGTGCTTTGAACTGGAGTTCTGTAATTTCTCGCAGTATTTCGTTCATGTACAAAATACAGAAAAGGTCGAAAATGACCTCCGAAATGCCAAATGAGAAAGAGGATACTGTCCACTAAATTATTCTTGTGCCAAGGACTCCAAAGGATACGAAACGCAATGCAAATCCACTTTAAATTCTTAAATTCCCAATTCTGCCATTTTTTGCAGACAAAGCGTGTCCAGAGTGAAACAGTTTCAATAATTTTTGAAAAATTATATCCAGTTACTGATGTTACTCAACGGTCTTTGATGCATCTGGAAGTTTCAAATCTCCTTACTGTTACTGCTTCTAGCTGAGTTGAAGAGCAAAAAGAATGTTTTCAAGTAAATCCTCTTACGCATAGTAAGGGCATTCAAGTATTCTCTATGTAGGCGAGTTTAGCACCCTTGGTCGATTTTTAATCCAACCCGAACATCCATTTTTGAGTGGAAATGGCAAAGATCCATGCTGCTTCAATTTATGACGGGATTTAAATCCTGCCACCAAAGCATGTCGTGGAGAAATGGTTTCGTGTTTTATCCAAGTAGGAGCGATGTGAACACCAGCAACCCGACAAAAAGCAAGTGTGCAGATAAGTAAATAAAAAAGAATAAAAGCAATTAAATAAAAAGAAAACGAGCTAATGTTACAATCTGTGAAACAAGAATCTGAGTCACCAAACATTTTTGAAAAAATAATTCCCTAACTATTTTAATTCTTCAGCATCTTGTCGCCGTGGCATCAAATTCAGTCTCAAGCCAATTTTGTTATTTCAGAACAAAAAGTGTTAAAGAAATGACTTTTGTAAATTTGGAAACTGGGAGCACATGATAGCACATTGCTAAAAATCGAGCTTTGACTTCACTGATCCGACTAACCGACGTTTTTATTAACCAGCTGATCAGCAGTCAGAGAAAAACAGATCACTGGCACTAAATTTTATGCTGTCGGGACATTGAATTAATCAAAAAATCACCATGAAAAAATTTAGGTTTGTACTGGTTCATTTGTGAACTAAGCATCAGGAAAAGCCTGGCGTAGAAATGCAAAATTGCTATCATGCTTCTGTTTACAATTACTGATTTGATAATGTGACATCAGCTTTCTTTTCGCAAAAAAATTAAAGCCATATAAATTTCCAATACATTTTGGTCATTTTGGTGCCTCCCAAGCAGAATCTGTGGTTTCTCACAATGTACACATGACTCAGCTTAGGTTCAACGAATATGAGCTGGAATAGTTAAGCAATTCGGCAGTATGACGCCTAAAAAAATATACGCATGAAGCAAGCATACCCGAGCTTATCTGAAATTTCGCTGTAACAATCAGACATCGCTGCTGAATGGTGCAAGCGAGTCTTATCCGTCTGAGGTGAACTCTGCCAGAGACCTGCAAAACTGTTCGCTCACAGGATGAAGTCATAATTCTCCGAAACTGTCAATTTCACGGGCTATAAGAAACTCTAGCAATACCGGGAGCAGGAAACGAATCAAAATTTCGTAGTATTTTGATAGTGACATAATCAGTGCTTTTTTGCAAAAGGTACATAACATCAGCAGCTTTCATTCCTTCCACTGATTCGTTATTCACTGCCAGGATGTGATCTCCAACACGCAGCGCACCTGTCCTGTAATTTAAATAATGGTGAGATTTAATAAAATGCGATTTAACCGAGGTAACAATGCGTACCAGGGTTTCCGATGTGAACATCTGTTTTTGCAGCCTGAAATTTGTCGTATCCCTACACGAGATGTTAGCATGCGTGAAAGCTGCTATTATGTTTCTCCTGTCCTACAAAAACAGGCAGCATTCTCGTAAATTTTAGCTTTCTTGCCTGCCCAAGTGCGGTGAGAATAAAATGGCGGTAGCACTGCATTTGAACATTTGATATGCCTGTACGCTGGGCTCATGTGTATCAAGAAGCCCGTATTGTACTTGCTGGTTCTTACGTGAACAACAAACGTATTCAAAAAAATACTGCTTCTTGCTTAATCTGATTACTGAATTAATTGGGTGCCAATAGTGCCCCAAATTGAATATTCACAAGCAAGGCACGTTTTCGTGCTGAATTTTAACAGGCCGCGCAAAAACATAGAATATCCTCTCAAAATTTCATTGGTTAGTGAAAATGTCTTTAGTTACAAATGCCTTCGCCATTTTGAACATGCAGCACAGGCTTACATCAAAGTTCATTTTAAGCCTGTTACACGATATGAAAATCAAATATTCTTGCAAAGTCAGAGCACCCTAATCAGCCTGATTCCTGAGTTGGCTTCTTGCTAATGATGTTTAAAATCCAAGTTTAACGTATTAGCAGGTGGACATAAGCGGGCTTCGTGGCTGAATTTAAAATCTTTAGCTCACACAAGCGCAAAAATCATCTCCGCGAAATTTCAGCTCTCTAATATTGTCTTGTCTCCTGGATCGCTTTCTCACTAAAAAAAATTGGCCAACGCACGGGCTGCCCGTGCGAAGATGCGTTTTTTTGCAGAGTTCCCCGTAGTTTTGGTCGCTACCGGCATGGTTTTTTCGGCAGATGCTTCTAGCTGAAAGAATTTCAGACTGGCCGCCAGAACTGTCAGAAAACACGTTTTTTCGGCAGATGCTTCTAGTTGAAAGAATTTCAGACTGGCCGCCAGAACTGTCAGGAAACGTT